AGAGAGAGAGAGAGAGAGAGAGAGAGAGAGAGAGAGAGAGAGAGAGAACGCGAGCGAGCCCAGTAATTCAAATGACTTTCAGGATTGTTGTTTTAGTCATTCTTTGAAGACAAAGAATATGCTAAATTATCTTAGAAAGTACTCTCTACTTCTGTATTTCTCAGATATCCTGAGGTTTTACTTTAAGGAAAATGTAATTACAATCCTTGTTTTCAAACAACCTGATGGACTAATTCTAATGCAACTGGCATATTTCTCATTTTGCATGGGTTTTTAATTTTCATAAGTTAATGATCTGGGTTCATACTAATTGCAGTTTGAAAAAAAAAATATTTTTAACCCGAACTTTGATGAAGAGGAAGAAGAGCAGAATGATTAAGGTCTGGAATTAATCCCAACTCTGCCAAGTATGAGCTATTTAATCTTAAGCAAATTGGTTAACATCGCTCTACATTACTGCATCATCTGTAAAATGGAAATGTTAGTAATAAGTATAATGTCTTACTGGGTGGCTTTAGTCACTTATTTTCTTTCAGCAATATATACAAAATATATTCAAAGACATGTTACATACTACTGTCATCAATTATTTCCCTATAAAGCAAAGAATCAAACATGGAGACAACATATACGCTTTGATATAATTTTTTTTTTTTTTCTGGAGCAGACTTAGCTGTTATCAATAGTTTTTCATTGTCTGATTGGATTCATGATTTGGAAGCAAATTAAAGATGATGAGCTCGATTCTTCTCTTAGTTACAGATAGGGAAGGAAGTAAATTCCCCTCACCCAAATGGTTGTAAAGCCGAGAGACAAGGGAACAAAGCCAAGTGACAAAATGAGAACAGAGAAGATGGTTTTCTGGCATTCTCTTAGAGGTCTCCATATCTCGGTGGTATGTCTAAACTTACATAGAAATTGAGGAGATAAAACACCAATATTTCTCACTTCAGTCATCTGATTTTATTGTGCTTTTTAAAATTAAACTGGTATGTTGGTAAACTGGCTTTAATAAGTTTGCTTTTCCCTAAGTTCATTCAGTCATATTTTAGGAGGGCTGCAAACTTATCAAGATGAAAACAGGTTGTATAAAGCCAAATTTTTTGCCAGTATTTTAACAACCTAATTGTTCATTATAACTCAACTCAAAAAATAAAAATCAACATTTTGAATGGTTTTGAAATCACATTATCATTACTTATATTCAATTAAAATAATATTAATTTGCCATGAAGTTATATTATTGCCATTAGTGCTAGTATTTATCCACATGTGTCTTAAGCCACAGGGGCAACAATATAGAGTAAAGGAAAATACAAGACCAAATAATAAATGTAGACATTGAGATATTAAGAATGTTAAATGTGAAGAAAGTTATTAAAGAAAAAGCTTATTCCAAACACTTTCCAACAGGGCCATCTGTCTCTCCTGTGGCTTCTGTTTAGCATCTTCATCCCTTTTCCATTTTCCTTGTTACACTTACTTAAACCTCCTCATGAATCAACAGGAATATACCACCAAAGATCAGTTTTACTTGGTTCAGATCAAATACTGCAAGGAACTACTAAATTGTTTGAAAGTACATACACACACTGTGGAGTGAATTATTTTTCTTTTAAAATGTATTTGAATTTGAAGGTTTCAAATTGTATTTTTAATTCTTTTATTGGTGCATTATAATTATACATAATAGTGGTATTCATTTGTACATGAACATAATTTATTCCCCCTTTCCCTTCCTGATCCACTTGCTTTTCTCTAGCATTTTCCTTCTATCATTATTATTACTATTATTTTAATTAGCACATTATAGTTATATATAAAGTGGGATTCATTGTGGCATAATTGTGTACATAGCATAATTTGGTGGATTTTGTTCCCAGTACTTCCCCATGCCTTTCCCTCTCTGTCCTTCTTGATTTCCTTCCTCAATTGGTTTGAAAACCATGGTTAGATGCCAGGTTAGAGGCCAGGAAGTAGATAACAAGGCCTTAACCTGTTTTCAAGCCCAAGGGCCTCTTCCATCCTTGCCAAGGGGAATACCGACCACCTCTCCTTTCATAAAACACACGGGAGCTTTTTTTTTTTTTAATACTTATCAAATAGGCCTAAAATAATTGTAATACTTCACACACCCTTTTAAATGTTGAGATTATGTTAATGTCATGATATTAACTTTACAAAGCCCTGATATTAACTTTCTAAAGCTGGTTCAATCTTCAGTTTGATTGTATGACCTTGAGCAAGTTATTTACCTCTCTAAATCTCATTTTTTTTTTTAAATCTGTGAACAGAATGGCTAACTCAAATAAATTTCCTACTAATTTATGTCCTTCCCTTTCTCATAGAATATTTAATAATTTCAACTCATAATAAAATACAACCTGTCCTTAATTTGGGATTATGCCTCATCTACCCTAATTTCCATGACTGCAAAATTTGAGGTGAGAGGATGAAAAGTTTGCACTCAGATGTGCTTTATTTGAGAAAAATTCTACTTAAATAGAAATGAGAACCAATAAAAGCAACTGAACAATTAAGAATAAAATACCAGAGTAGATAAATGACAACTTAAATATTGACAATATGCCATGTCATCTTTAGGGAAAAGGTGACTGTTATGAAATCATCCATGTACAAATTTTCCTGGCAGCCAAATATTTATTTTCAACCACATACATTCTAATTCCTTGAATGTCAAGCACAAGAAAAGGAAAGAGATCACTGGAGTCAGGAATATCAGTTAAAGCAATTCTCATGTAGTTGAAATGTAGCTGAGAAGAATCTCTACATCAGGGACTGAATGTTCTCCAGGAACATTGTGACAGAAATTCGTCCCTATCATGAAACCCTCCAGGGGATTAGAGGAGGGCATGTGGCTCCACTGTGCCACTAAAAGAAGAAAGTTCCTGTATGTTCTACATTAGAGACTGGGTCTGATAGGATGCTTCTACCGTGGAATAACCAAAACATCTGCCAGAAATCAGTATATTTAATGAAGGCCTAAAGAAAAGTAAGCAATGACCTTGAAGAAGTACCATACATTGTTTCTTATCCTTCCTGTCCCTTTCTGCAGCTTTGCCTAGACCCTTAAATTAGCAGAGTTAACCCGAAATCGTGGTGCCATGCCTAAAACAAGGGGCATACATATAACAGAATGGTTCATTTTGCCTTTCTCTCTGTAAAAAGAGAATGTGGTTGAACACATCTTTAAAGGTGGGGCCCGACAATCTGTGCTTTAATAAAACTCTCCTTGTGAGGTAATGTACACTAATGTTTGAAATCCATAACAACTGAGGCTCCAATTTCACTACACTCTCCCCACTCCAATCCACAAGAATCAAGGCTTAAATTCACTGAAGATATAAGGTCTAGCTTCTAATTTCAGTTGGTTCCATTTTATAAAAAGAACCCAGCAAGCTATGACACCTTGACATTTTATCATTATTTAAGTCCCCCAAAGCATTACTATTACATCTAAGCATTTTTTCCAAAAATCAATTGAATGAATATTTCCATAAATATCTGTTGATCTTAGCCACCTTATCTTTCAAATACTCTCTGAATTAAAAAGAAAGGTTATATTAGCAAATTTATTCTTTTGTATTTAGAAGAACCCTAGCAATATGTCATCACAGATATGAAAGGAAGAAAAATCTCCCCATGTTCTCGCTTTTGCTTAACTAAAAGCAGAAATAACTCTCCAGAAAGTATAACTTCCAGATAGCTGACAAGAGAGCTATATATAACAAAAATCAGATAATATTTTCACCTATCCTACAAAGACTAAAAAAGAATGATGTCTCTGTAAGGACATATTCAGCAGCAAATAGATTAAACAGGTTTGAAAAGCAACCCAGTGCCAGGTAACAACCTGATAGCAGGAAGCCCAGAGTGCACAGTGGAAGAACCCAGGTCCTCTCTATTTGCTCTGGCTCTGCAGATGGCTTTCAAACAGTAGGAATCTTGGGCCAGAATGACTGCTGGACCATCAATCACATCTACATTCTTAGTAGTAGGTACAAAGACGTCCCTTGCTTCAAGGAAACATTCTAGAAACTGTGCATACTACTTCTGCTATAGATCCCATTTACTAGACCTCAGTTACATTGTCACAAGAGATGCTGAAGAAGAAATCTTTATTCCAAGCAAATTGGGTCTAGTTAAAAGAAAGTAGGGAAGAAATGGTTTTTGTGCTGTACCACAAATGATAATGCCCAAATGCTAACAAAATTGGAAAAAAGGAGTCTTTTTAAAACATTGTTGGTAAGAGTATAAGTGGCTATAGTGTTTTTCACGGACAACTTGATAATAGCATCCAACACATTTAGACATGATCCCAACACTTTAAGGAAGTCATTCTTAAAAAATATTGTGTTAGTCAGGGTTCTCCAGAGAAACAATACTGATAGGAGAAAATTAATTATAAATAATTGCCTCACATGATTATGGAGACTAACTAAGATGTCCCAAGATCTGCAATCTAAAGACCTGAAAATGAAGAGGGACCTTGGAAGTCTACTCCATGTCCAAATCTGAAGGCATGAGACTGATGTCCCAGGAAAAAACAGGGAGGCAGAGAGAAAATTCTTTCTTGCTCAGCCTATTGTTCTATTTAGGCTTTTAATATACTGGATGAGGCCTGCCCACTTCAAGCAGGGAAATCTGCTTTACTCAGTCTACAGATTCAAATGTTAATCTCATCCAGAAACACCCCCACAGTCAAAGTCAGAATAATGTTCAATATCTGAGCATCCCAAGGTCCAATTAAGCTGACACATAAAATTAACCATCATGCATATGCATTTGTATTAGTAATATATAAACTATAGTGATTTAAGTATATAGTAGTATTAAATATATTCATTGTGCAATCAATTTCAATGACTTGTCATTTTGCAAAATTAAAACTCTATACCTATTAAATAACAACTCCCTATTCCCCATAACACCAATGTACTTCCTGTAACCACCATGCTACCTCCTGCCTACATGAACTTGAAAACCCTAGGTACCTCTTATAAGTGGAATGTAAGTGGAATTTAAGTGGAATCATACAGTATCTGTCCTTTCATCTGTCTTACTTTACTTAGTATAATATCCATGTTCAGCATGTGTCAGAATTCCCTTCCTTTTGGGGCTATATGATATTTCATTGTATATTTATTTACCTATTCATCTATCAGAGGACACTTGGGTTGCTTTCATTCTTTGGATGTTGTGATTGATGCTGAATATCATGTTAATTCTATAGGTTTCTTAGTATTACTGCATGGAGTACATGTTATTATAAAATAACAAAAGCTAAACTATATTAATTATTTGTACTAAATATATTTTATGTTTATTTTCTCAAAATATCAACCCAAGAATAATCATTTTGGGGGGTCTGATCTGGCTTTCTTAGACACATCTGGCCAATCCTATCTGGACAGCAACCTATCAGGAATATAAATAAGGATTTATATATCTAGAAAGAATTGGATAAAATAAAATTATAAGATCCTATGAAATGCCTTCTCAGAGAAAGCTGCAACTGATCCTAGATGTCATCTGAGCATAGAAGTCATATAATTTTAGAGCTGAAAGTGATTCTAAAAATAATCCAGAACAACAGCTCATTTTAAAAGTGAAGATGTTGAATTTGAAGACAGTGAATGGATTTCCCAAAGCCAAGGGAATTTCCATTGGCTCTAGTACCTCTCTAAATTAGATTTGAATTATTTATGGATAGACAAGCTGACTGTAATAGAGCATCTCTAAATTAGAGGAACCAGCTTGAAGTTCATGCACAGTTCTATAGAAACTTACACAAGACCTTTCACGTAATTATGGAAAAATTTTATACTTACAAAAACTTTTTAAGGTTTAAAATTATTTTAAATTTACACACAGTAGAGTTGGCTTCTTTATATACAATTCTGTAAGTTTAAAAATATAGAGAGATTTGTGAACACAATAAGGACCACAGTCAGAATACAGAACAAAAATATTCCTGCTTCCTCTTTGTAGTCAAACTGGCTCCCACACCTAGGCTCTGGTGTGGCAATTAGGAATCTGTTTTATATCCTATAATTTGTCTCTTATAGAATATAGTATAAATAAACTCATAAAGTAAATAATATTTTCAACTTGTTTTTTTCACTCAGCAGAGTTTCAAATTTATCTTTTTATTATAGAAATAGTTCATTCCTTTTTATTTTGAGGAGTACCCCATTGTATGGATGTGCTATTGCTAATCTATTTTGCCCATTAATGGTCACCTGGAATGTTTACTAGTTTGGTACAGTTATAATAAAACTGCCATCAACATTGATGAACCAAACAAAACATTTTTGTGTGTGAACATATGCTTTAATTTTTATGTCTTTGTGTAAACTCAAGTTTTCATACTCAGAAGGCTGAGGCAGAAGGGTCATGAGTTCAAGACTAGCCTGGGCAACCAACTCACAAAGAAAAAAATGTATTTCTCAAACACCTACAAGATTCCTAGAATTAATGATAAATGTGTATCTTGACACGTATTTAATTTTATAAGAAACTGCAACACTCTCTTCCAAAGTGGTTCTACTATTTGGCATTCCCATCAACATATACAGAAGTTGCAGTTGTTTTGAATGTCTTTGCCAGCATATGAAATTGTCCTTTTAAAAAAAGTCTTTTTTAAACATGAGCAGTGTTACCCCATTCTGCATTTAGTTTGGATTAGCCTCATGGTTAACAACATTGAGCCTTTCTCAAGCATTTATTTACCATTCATATGACTTTGTTGAATTCTTAAATCTTTTCTTCATTTGTTAATTTAGCTGATTGTTTTCTTATTGTTGAGTTTTGAGAATTCTTTTTATATTCTGGATGTTGAATATGTGATTTGCAAATATCCCCTTCCAGATCATATCTTGTCTTTTCATTCTCTTGAGTATCTTTCATAAAGAAAAAGTTTTTAATTTTGTAAAATCCAATTTATCAATATTTTCTTCTATTGATGATGCTTGTAATGTTATATCTAATAATTCTTTGCCTAGCCCCAGGTCATTAAGATATTTTCCTATGCTTTCTTCTAAGAATC